TTATTACTGTTTATCATGTTTTAACTGATTGATCGATTTTACAATTTTAAATGCATAATAATACATGGGAATTGGTATGATGATTCAGTTGTGTTTCCTTGATGCATGTATTGTTTGTTTTGCGTGATTTACAGTTAAATTATGAAACTAAAAATTAAATATAAATGAAAAATTGTTGATTAAGTGAATAAATGAATGGTAGCCTACCTGAATATCCCTGGGAGATAGTTGACAGGCCGGGTACATAGGGAACCCAACCATGAACGTTGCCTCATATCGGACCGGCTATCGAGGATTGGTATTTTGGCACTCACACCAGACAGAGTATGAGTAGGACCCGTTTCACCCTTATACTGGATAAGGTATTGAGGGATGGTATTTTCGGTATTTATATCGGACGGGGAATGGGGACGGCTCGTTTCACCCTTATACCGAATAAGGTATTGAGGGATGGTATTTTCAGTATTTATACCGGATATGGGGACGACCCGTTTCACCCTTATATCGGACAAAATATTGAGGGATGATATTTTTAGCGCTCATACTAGACGGGGTATGTGGACGGCCAGTTAGTTGACAATGTTTAATAAGGGTTCACACGTAGTGGGGGCCCTATAGACCCCTATAGATATCAGTAGGCAGATAAAAAGAGAAAGTTGTTGTTCTAGCTAATTGAAAATGAGATTATGATGTTATTTGCCTCTATAGGTCAATTTTGAAAAGCTCGCTACGGTAAGTATATAATAAATGATTTATTATGATAAATAAATTTACTTAAATTAAGAGCTCAATTAGTTATTTTTATAATTTTTACCCAACGTTCATTTATGTATCGGAGAGTAGTGTGACATTCTTACTGGGTTAGAGTAGTTCACTCTTTCATTAACCCATTTCAGATCGAGAGGACCAAGATTCAGATCCCGATCCACAAGAGGGTTGCGAATAGGATGCCCAGGTGTTTACTTTTCATTTATTTATTTGATTTTTCGTTTGTTCTTTTAGAATGATTATTCCCATATCCCTATTGGGTATTCTAAATTATTGTGTAAGGAATGTAAACCCTAACTTTATTATTTCGCTTCTGCATTCAACTTATAATTTATTTCCTTTTAAAGTTCCAGGTCGTTATAAGCAGGTCCATCCTTCAGCACCTGTAGAAATAATTCCTAAAAAGATAAATCCAGGGACTCATACTAACTATTTCAATTCAACTATACTTACTTTATCCAATCACATTTGACCATCACATTATTTAA